TTTATGGGAACAAAGGCCGAACTCTGATTTTCCATCTTTGTGATTTTTTTACAATTTTTCTGAGATGTTACAATAAACTTTGAAGTATTTCAGGGTCATTTCAACATCGTTCACGAGACAATTATGCGGGGAACAGGGTAAATGTTTTTTTGGGATTACGGGAACTGGGGGAAAAGAATTTTTCGGCGAACAAGTTATTTTACTCAATGCGGGAACAGCGAGAAAAATCCATAAACATTAAGGGATCAATTAGAACATGTACCCCCCCCCGGAGGCGCTCGAAGAGAGTGGTCTACACTGACGAGACTACGATGATATCCTTGATTGTCCTATTTAACTGGCACAGTGCACACCTGCGAAAAACTCACATCGATAAAGGCTCATCTATAAAAAGTCGATTTTATGACGTGCCGCAATATATACGACCGGCTAACATTTTTTATTCTGGTATAGGCATTACGTGGTGCGTCATAGACTCGGCGTAGTAATTATTGACTCTAAGGCTATGTCTAGAATGGTATTTGTTAGTCTTTATTCGTCTTGTCTAAGCAGTTACGTGCTTAGTCTTGCCTATACATATATAGATATTATGTATATATATATTAATATATATACTACGGTAGTATTACACGGAGTGTTTGGTGTGACTTATACTTGCGTATACCATACTACTATATATCATACCTATACTATATACTTATCATATAACTATATATATATATATATATCTCATACAAGGCATCGCATATAAAGCGCTATTGCCCAGAGATAGACTAGCAACCAGAATACTTCGTGACAAGCACTAATAATTATCAGTTTTCGCATAGCTTCGCGCTAATAGTCATGCGAGTGGTGGTGTTGTATGCGATGATATGCAATAGGCATTATGAGCTCGCAGGTTCGCTTGTATGCTAGGTGTGTTACGCCATTGCGCGAGGGGCGTGTGAAGTCATATTCATCACACTCCGTAAAAATTAAATTATTAGTACTAATAGTAGTGTTAACTAACAGTCCGAGTTATGTATATTATACGTCTGTACATTAAACTGTATATATCTGCCTGACATATTGTCTCATCATGATATTTTTGCATTTGCCTGCTTACTGACAATACTATAAACAAATCCGTTACTGTCGGGTTCCTATGGTTCACTTGCTTGTTTACAGGCACGTCAGGCAGCAGATATTAGGATACTGCCACCTCTGTGTCTGCACGTCAGCCGACTCAGGCTACTACTGATCCGTCGGTCGGGTCGGGACCCTCCGCGCTCCGCGCGCGTCGGACGGATCGGCATCGGCGCGAATCGGTCGGTCGGCTTCGGGCGGTATGCACCGGACGTGATGTATAGATGTGTGCATGTGTGTGTGACCCCCCTGTCTTGTATAGATTGATGCAGGTCGTGGGTGTGACTGGGATAATAGATGTGTGCATGTGTGGCTGTGACTGTGTGTATAGATGTGTAATGTGTGGGTGTGAGCTGTGTGATATAGATGTGTGCATGTGTTGCCCATGAGCTTGTTGACTGTGTGTTATAGTACGATGTGTGCACTGTGCTGAATGTGAATGTGTGCTGTATAGAGTGTGCTGCATGTGCTCGGGTGTCGACTGTGATGTATAGTATGGTGTGCATGTGTGGCTGGACTGTGTGTATAGATGTGCTGCTAGTGTGGCTGTGACTGTGTGTAATTAGATGTGTGAAGTCGTGGGATTGACTGTAGTGATATAGCATGTGTGCATGTGTGGTGTGACTCCACCCCCCCCGTGTCGTATCGATGTGTGCATGTGTGGGTTCGCCACTGCTCGCTGCCCCTCTCGAATCGCCTGTGCATCGCTCGCTGCTCACTAGCCACTCTAGTTACACTGCTACGCTGGCGCTGTGACTGATGTGTACTAGCACTGTGCTACATCGCTGTCGTGTACTGTGTGGATAGATGATGATACATGCTGTGGCGGGCGGTGATCGAACCTGTGTTTATCAGCACTGATGTACATGCCGTGGGTGCTGGACTGTGCTGTATAGATAGTGGTAATGTGTGCGCCGCCTCCCCCCGCCCTCGCCACTGTGTGTTAGATGTGTACCATGTGTGGGTGCTGACTTGTGCTGTATGACTGTGGGTGCATCGTCCGTAGTGTCGACCTTGTGTGTAATCAGCAATTGCTCGCTGCCATTCGTGTGGCTGTCGGACTGTGCTGTAATAGATGATGTGCCATGTGTGCGATGTCGAACTGTGTGCACGTATAGATTGTGCATGTGTGGCTGTGACTGTGTGTATAGACAATGTGCACACTGTGGGGGTGCTTGCTGTGCTGTATAGCATGTGTGCATGGTGCGCGCTCCTGGACTCGTAGTGCTCAAATAGATGTGATAATGTGTGCCCGTTCGCAGCGCTGTGTCGTTATCACGCCACTGTGTGCCCACTCGTGTGCCCGCTCCCCCCACGCCAAACACACCACAAACCAAACGTGACTGTGTGTTAGATGTGCTGCATGTGTGCGCTGTGCTGGTATACAGATGTGTGCATGTGCTGGCTGTGGACTGTGTTGTAATAGATGATTTGCTGCATGTGTGGACTTGACTCGTGTGTATAATGTTTGTGCATGTGTGGGTGTGACTGTGTGTATAGATGTGCATGCATGTGTGCTCGTGACTGTGTATAGATGTGGTGCATGTGTGGCGTGTGACATGTTGTATTAGATGTGTGCATGTGTGCGCTGTGACTGTGTATAGATGTCTACATGTGTGGGTGTGACTGTGTGATCAGATGCTGTACAGGTGTGGGTGACTGAACATGTGTGCCATGCTATAGATGTGTGATGGTGTAGCTGTGACTGTGTGTATAGATGTGTGCATGTGTGAAACCTCCACGCTCCCTGTCACCGAACCTTCACGCTCCCTGCTTCAACACGACCTCACGCTCCCTGCCTCACCACGAACCTCACACTCCCTGCTCACCCCGAACCTCACGCAGCCTTGGCCTCACACGACTCACGCTCCTGCCCTCACACACGAACCTCACGCTCCGTGCTCACCACGAAACCTCACGTCCCTGCCCTCACACGAACCTCACGCTCCCTGCTTCACACGAAACTCACGCTCCCTGTCACCACGAACCTCAGCTCCCTGTCACCACGCAAACCTCACACTCCCTGCTCAGCACGAACTCACGCTCCCTGCTCACCACGAAACTCACGCTCCCTGCCTACCACAACGCCTCACGCTCCCTGCTCACACACCTCCGCTCCCCGTGCCTCACACCGAACCGCACGCTCCCTGCCTACACCACGAACCTCACGCGCCACTGCTCACACGAACCTCCACGCTCCCTGCTCACACGAACTCACGCTCCCTGTCAGCACGATACGCTCACGCTCCCTGCTCGCACGAACCTCCGCTCCCTGTCAACTCACGAACCTCCAAAGCTCCATGCTCACACGCACCTCACGCTCGCTGTCACACGAACCTCACGCCTCCCTGCTCACCACGAACCTCACGCTCCGTGCTCACACGAACTCACGCTCCCTGCTCACCAACCTCACGCCTCCCTGCTCACACGAACCTCACCTCCCTGCTCCCACGAACTCACGCTCCCTGCTCCCACGAACCTCACGCTCCCTGATCACCACGATACATCACGGCGTCCCTGCCCTCAGCACGAAACCTCAGCTCCCTGCTCACCGAACTCACGCTCCCTGACTCGCCACGAACCTCACGCTCCCTGCCTCACACGACCTCACGCTCCCTGCTCACACGAACCTCACGCTCCCTGTCCACGACCTCACGCTCCCTGCTCACCACGACCTCACGCTCCCTGCTCACACGAACCTCACGCTCCTGCTCACCACGAACCTCTCACGCTCGCTGCTCCACGAACCTCACGCTCCCTGCTAACACGAACCTCCACGCTCCCTGCTCACCACGACCTCACGCTCCCGACTCACCACGCAACCTCACGCTCCTGCTCACCACGAACTCACGCCGCCCCCTGCCTCACACGAACCTCACGCTCCCTGCTCACCCGGAAACCTCACGCTCCTGCTCACCACGACTGCACGATCCCTGCTCGCACGGAACCTCCGCTCCATGCCTCACCACGAACCTCACGCCTCCGTGCTCAGCACGAACTTCACGCTCCCTGCTCACCTATGAACCTCACGCGCCTCCCTGCTCACCACGAACCTCACGCTCCCTGCTCACACGAACTCACGCTCCCTGCCCTCACATGGGAAACCTCCGCTCCCGCTCACCACGAACCTCACGCTCCTGCTCACCCACGAACTCACGGGCTCCCTGCTCACACGAACCTCACGCTCTGTTCACCACGAACCTCACGCTCCCTGCTCGCACGAACCTCACGCTCCGTCATTCACACGACCTTCACGCTCCCTGCCTCACACGACCTCACGCTCCCTGCTCAGCATGAACCTCACCGTGTGCGGGGCCTTTAGTGAGAAGTCCTCTAAAGAACTGGTAGCATATTTAAAAACTAGGCTGTCTAATAGTTAAGCAGCTGGTTGCACATATATTACGTTAATGATATTGACGAAAATTCAGCATGCCAAGTTTTTGGGTAGAAAAACATGTTCATTCCTCTAACAAATCATGACATGTTCGAGAAACTTTTCATAACCCACGTTATGGTAATGCAGTGTATTACTGTATTAACATGGAATCCATAAGATTTGTGAATGGTGGTTGTTTACAGATTTTCATGAAGCTATTGCTGTGCAACATCGTGTAAGTAATGCAGCTGATGGCACAGCAAGACTAATTAGTGAACTAATAAAACTAGCCAATTACTGTTAATAACAATCTAATAATGATAATGAACCTGAGATTTAGAATATAGTAATGTAAATAGCAATGTTGAGAAGTTGCCACAAAGGGAGAAGCATGAATATTTGGATATTTTGTGTGCAGGTTTAATAAGGATTGGTAATGTTTGTTATATGTACAGTAAGTATATATAACTCGAGCATGTTTGCACTATCGTTTTTCTAGGCACATGCAGTTCCTTCTACATCAAATGAACCAGCACTTGACAGATGACGAGAGAAAAGAGATGGCAGTCATGCTGGAGAGTTACACAGCCAAGGCCGAGGGAGGTCCTATCCCTCTGGTATTAGACAGTGGAATTATTCTGCCACCTGTGCCATTCACTAGGCTCCCAATTGTTAGGTAACTGAAAAATTGCATATTTTCTTGTCTGTGAATTACTTCAAAGAGATTTGGGGTTGATTGGTTTGATGAATGGCTACATTAAGCCAAGTGTATGGCTATCACATTTAACGTTCAGTGCAACTGGACAACCTTCATATTGTTCTGCAAATGTGCTAAGACATTATTTGCTGTGATCATGACTTGATGTCAGAGACAATGCAAAGTTATAGCAGAGGTGTGAAGTAATATGTAGTAACTAATAATTGTAAATTATTGCGTTAACTGATTGTTTGACCTTTCTCACAGGTCGTTCAAGCTGCAGAATCTTGCACCACATCTAAAACCTCACAGCAAGGCAAAGAAAAATATGCCAGCACCAATAAACAAGAGCCCCTTCATATACTCTCCAATTCAGTTTGGCAGCATAGGCCGGAGCAAATCAAAAATAGGTGCACAATACTTAGTACTTAGTCAATCTAACTTCTACAATTTAATGCATTCCCCATGTAGCAGACAGTGCGTGTAAAATCTCCTATCATTAGTAGCAAGGGTTGACTGCGTTTGGTCCATTTTTATGTGGATGTCTGCTAGATAGAAAATTTTAGAAATTATGAAAGGCATTATAACCACCAGTTATAACTGAATGAAACGTCTTTTTCCTGGTCCTCTGGGAACAACCTGTTGTGTTTCATGTGCCGACATGACATTTATCGGAATGAAATACCTGCTTATACCATAAGTAACAATAGTGCTGGCCTATTTCTGTCATTATAAATCTATCTATCTATCTCTCTGTCTATCTCTCTATCTATCTCTCTATCTATCTATCTGTCTGTATATATATATATATATACTAAGAAACTAGTGGAGATAATACAGATAGCTAGATAGATAAATAGATATATTTATGATGGCAGAAATAGGCCCGAAATATGCCACCACTGTTGCGACTTATAGTATAAACAGGCAATTTCATCATGTTAGGTATCTATCTATATATATATAGAAAGAGCAACAGGATGCACAGCAGACCCAGTTTGCCTACAACTTATGATTCCACAACTGCAGAAATTTGACACTGAAACTTACTGTGAGCCAGGAAGGCTGATTCCGATTGCCAAACTCTTCTCGAGAAAGTTTCGCTAAAATTTCGCTAACAACATTGATGATCTAGACATTCTGGTCTACGAAGTTTGGGTTACGGGACTACTACTGAGTAGTCCAGTCAGTGATCGGACACACCTGTAAACCTCGTGTGTTTCTCGTCGTAACGTCGTAAACGTTGTTCAAAATATCTGCCTAGTGTAACTAAATCAAACTCTTCCTTTGTTGGTGTTACTATCTGTTGTATTTCCTCTAGGCTCTGGAATAGTGCATTATGAAATACTCTTTCCTGAAGAGTGTTACAGTAATCAAGGATATAACATGATTGTGTATTGTCTGCAGGAATGCAGAAAATGCATTCTGTGAATAAAGGCTGGAAATTTTTATGAAGTAAGAGCATTATTTGCTAAAAACAGGCAATAGCAATTAACCTTAAATAATTATGGAGCGTAATCGAATCATGTGTGAACGTCTGCTTTAAATTGGTAATTGGTTGTCCGCTAGGCAGTGCATACGGATGCACTACTGTCTGATTGGCTGACGGAAACATTTTGGTTGTAGGAGCCCTAAAATTATTTTTACAATTTGGTTTCTTAAGAGTAATGTTGTCTCATATACAATGAACTAACATTGCTAAACTAGTGTTTTTATAAGACTTACTCGAAAGCCTTATGGTCTATATCTGGGTGACGGCCAAATCCTTGCTAGTAATTCACAAAATCCCTAGAACAATGCAACACGTTAACCTTGTCTTACACTTCACTACCACGTGTTTATGGCTGCGTGTTTTTCCGTGCTACATTTTGTTGCTTGCCTATGATTAGTATGTTATGCAGTGAACGCTTCAGGAATATCACCACAAAGGTGTGACACAGACTATTTCTGTACTGTCGAACCTCTGTTGACGGTCACCTTTGAAGAACGGACACATAGCATTTCCGTTGAGTGATCCTTATATACTGGTTTGACTGCATATGTAAGATGATCGCCACGTAGTAATTGTTTTCTGGTTATGTTTCAGAGTTTGAGTGGGCAGAGAGTGATGTGTGTGAGGTGACTATGCAGGTGTACAACACGATGCCCTTTGAACTAAAAGTCGATAATATGGTACGTGCCTTCAGCTCCAGCACCTACATGTAACATACTAGAGTTTGATAATGGTCACAGGCCCATTGTTACAAATATCTTAGTGGTAATATTAGTCTATATGCTAGCTACATCAACCCTAAAGTCTGATGGGAGGTGATTGGAAACTCAAAATGGCCATTGTACACTTGGTGCAAGTTCTTGCACATAGAAGCAGATAAGTTACTTGGTTAGTTGCCATCGTTAAATAGCTAATTCAGCTAATTGTGTTGTTTGATGGGTTAAACTAGGTGTGAAATATAATGGGCATGGGTGTGTGCAGGGGGGGGGGGTCGTGAGGGTCGTACGACCCCCCCAAAATATTAAAAGGTCCACATTTTTTCAAAGACATTTTTTTCGAGGCCTTTTTACAAACTGACAATAAATGAAAAAGCTGGCAGGTACGCAGCAATGATCCAACGACATGTGCATTGCGTGGACGTAAATCTATCCAATTCAGCAATTGCTGAAACTGAGCATTTTTTTTTAAAAACAAACTTTGTTTGCATAAAGAGAGAGACAAAGATCGACAAAGACACAGACAAGAGCAAGATCAAGACAAGACAAGATAAAGAAAAAAAGTTTCAAAAAACTCTGTTTTCAACTCGAGTCAGAATTTTTTTTTTTAAAGCTGCTAACTTTTTTTATTGAAAACCAAATTTTTTTTGTTTTAATTAAAATTGTCAGGGGCGTGTTACAGGGGGGGTCGCAGGGGGTCCGGCCGGCCCCCGCTGCTCGCCGCAGAAAACGCATCTAAAAAGAGGCTAATTTCAAATTTTTTAATGGGGGAGGCCCCCCAGACCTGCCCCCCTGTCGCGTGCTGCCAAAGTTTTGGGTTACGTTAGACCACCCCCTGTACAAATCCTGTCATCACGCCCTTGATTGTATTGACCATTGTAATCACATCTTGCTGCTATTTCATTGTGAAAAGGTCCAAAAAATTATGATCACGACCCACCCAGAAAAAATCCTGGATACACCCCTGATGGGTTAATAAACTTAATAATAAAGGCAAAAGCATTTCACATTCCATACTGTACATACGTGTGGGCATGTGTGCTTGGTTGTAGAAGTCACATTTGTTTCTGTTGAGTGTACTACTTCATGTTCTTCTGATTATTTCTTCACACTGCAGAGCTTATTGTCGGAAGGAGGTCAACTGGAGACGTTCCCTTCCTCCCTCTCCTTGCCAGCGAACTCTGGTCCATATCCTGTCAACTTGCTGTCCTGTCCACAGGGAGCAGGAGAACTAAAGATAATAGGTACACCTACATACTATTTAGTGGAAGTATCCCCCTTGATTCTTTCACTCGCATGTAGAATTTACATCATTTAAGGATACTCTCAAGCTTTTATGCGAAATTTTATTGATGTTTCATTTTCATTCTTATTCGATGGCTAACACTAGGTGCCACCTCTGTACATGCGTACTTCTCCGTGTAACGATGCATGTGAACTTTCAACGCGTTTTGATTGCCTGCGTGCGTGTGTAGTGAGCCGTGGCTCGTTAAACACTGATGACGCCAGAGACATGATACAACCAGCCTTTTCATGGTATTCATTATACGAGAATTCATCAGCGTCAACTCATCTACAGCTGTCATTAGCCAGTGATAGTTGAAATTGTCGCGTGGTCGAAAATAGCAATTACACCTCTTTACATAGCTTTACATAATTATAGGCTCGGGTTTGTTGATGCAATACACGTCATTCGCGCATTTCGCATAAAAATTGAGATGGTAACCTCGTAATTTCTCATCATTTCTCAAGGTGCACAGAACATTTTACCAATTTAGTGGTTTCAGTTAGTCATGGATAACTCGCAGTAAGTACTAACAGTAGATGTTTCTCATATGTTCACCGATTTTGCACAAAGGCATTGTTGATCATTGTGAAAAGTAGAAAGACGCTGATTTCTGCGTATTGATTTCTGCCACAGTATCCGATGTATAAATTAAAACTATAAATGGCTTACACTCGTTTCAATGGTAACACATTGCTGTAAAAAGTGCGTCAGGGTTTTTTATTAAGTGCCTGTCTTTTATGAGTTATTGTTCTTTATTTGCATAAATTTTTAATCCGAACATACAACCTAAATTTTAGGCAGTTTTTTCATTTTTTTCAATAAATATAAAACTTGAAGAAAAATCCTGACACATAATTTTGGTGCAAATTGTGTTTAACTTGTGGCGAGAATTTAGTTTTCATACTCTTTGTGGCAATTGAGAAATATACAAAATACCATTTTTTTACATCAAAACTCAAAATTTGTGTTGTCACATAATTAGCTGCTGGAAATTTTATGAAATATTTAGGCTTGAGCATAGAGATACATCTCATCTATAAATAAAACGTGTGATTGATTCGATTCTTTTGTCAATAAACGTTTACATTTCATTAGAGCAGTACCCGTGCAAAAGCTTGAGTATATCCCTAATATGACCAGATGAAATGTCAACTTGATGTTATTACATTGGTATTTCATATTAATTTATGTCTGTGTGTACGTAAGGTTATAACAGTCAAAGGAAGAACTGCATCCGATCTGTCTGTCCGTCTGTCTGTCTGTGTGTCTGCCTGTCTGGCTGTCTGTCTGTCTGTTTATCTAGCTACCTACCTATCTATCTATGTATCTATCTATCTATCTATCTATCTATCTATCTACCTACCTATCTATCTATGTATCTATCTATCTATCTATCTATCTATCTATCAGTATATATATGTATATAGCGATTGATATAGATATCAATATATTAGGTGAGAGAATTTTTCTAAGTGTGCATTGTTAGCATTCTGTATATCAGTGTTATGTGCGTGTGCGTGTGTGTGCATGCATGCGCACGCCCATGCATGTGCACATGCTGGTGTCTGTGTAATAGCAAAATATGACTAAATATGTTCAAAAATCATTAGGTTGTATATTTTAAACGGGGATTTAACCAATTATAAAATTATTGTAATATGTTGATAACTTGGAATATCTATTTATTACTTAATCTGACTTTTCACAGTTACTCAACAGAATTAAATGACAACTGCAGATGGATCAGGTTGCATACAGTCCAATCATATTACTAGCTGGTGGAGGTGATTGCAACAGCAGCATGTTTTATGTAGTAGTTTTCTATTGTTATTATAAAGTATTGTTTGTGTGCGCAGGCTACTCTGCCACTGTGCTGGGTGTTAGAAGCCACTGTCGTCTACGTGATCTACCACAATTCAAGCAGCAGAAGCATATGGTTCAGGTTGCGCCGGCACTGCCGAAGCTCCAGGTGCAAACCTCTTTAGCCAAGTCGGCAACTTTCACCAGTCTGGCTGACTGTGGCAGCATAGTAACCAGCGGCTCTATAAGCTTGTATGCTGGGGAGAGGTAAGAAGGATCTTGACTTTGTGTGGACCACCATTTCCACTATGTGTATTCTGTAGTGTTCATGCCATTTTTAGCTCACCTTGATATCGTCAAGCTGAGCTATTGCCATGGGTCGTCGTCCGTCGTACGTCCGTCCGTCCGTCCGTTTGTCCGTCCGTCCGTCAACATTTCGCTTCGGTCAACGATAACTCAGGAACCGTTTGGCCCACATGTTTGAAATTGGGTATAGTTGTTACTGCTATGCTCCCATATTAAACGTCCTATTTTGATTCAATGGATTTTGCTCATTTTTGGTATGTAAATAAGGGCTAGGGCTTTTGATATTAAAAAAAAAAAAATGCAAATTAGGTAGGGTTTGGCAATTATATAGCATATTATATTGACACAAACAATCTGTGGTGTCACACTCGTCTGGTTCTTTTTACAAGATTTCATTGACAATATCTTTAATGCAAAATTGGTATTTCCTCTCCACCCTGCCGATAAAACGTCTATATTAGAGTAAAGGTTTACAAAACATGTCGGAACGCAGCATAACCTATTTATTTCAAACGCCATCGCTACAAAGCGGGTATAGCGCCATCTATGGTCACAAATTGTGATTCATTTTGGTTTATAAATTATTATTGCGATATACAGATGGCAATCATTTTTATAATGTACGTCGATGGTTGCTCAATTAAAACTGACTTCTTCTTACTCACTCATTTGTGTCCTTTTTTGTGGTGAGCTACAGTGTCATTGACACTTTCATTCTATCTAGCCACTGGTGGGCATTGTTAAATACGAAATAGCCAGTAGCATCAATATAGCAACTATTACTGACTTTATGAGCGACAGTACTTTCGTCGGTTTGTTTAAATGTATGGATCTGTTTATTTGTAATGTTAGAAGTAATCATATCCACAGTAAAACACTTCCTTGCTTTCTTACAGCCAAGACTGCACATTGTCGCTTAGCAACATTTCAAGGCAACCTATCGAATCTATAGAGCTTTCCCTCGACTGCAAACTTAGTAAAAGTAAGTTGAGGAAATCTAGTGTAGTATCATAACTGTTATATAAATAAGAGTACATAATTCTATTGTTATGTAATATGTCAGCTCTCTAAGCAATGGTCATCAATTGCGATTCATTGTTAAACAAATTTGTTAGTTATTTTCATGATGTATTTGACAATGCATTCTTTTCGTTAATGACCCATATATGAGTTGTCAAATTGTAACGTAAAAGTTGTCAAACATTTTTTGATGTAGTTGAATATAGTACCTTTGTTATTTCAGGGAAAGCAAGTAAATTCTTCCATTGGGACAATTCACGTATAATGTCTGTACTACCTATAGAGCCAGAGAAGAGTGCGGTTATGAATCTGTGTATCACAGCTGTATCTGACTTTCTGGCTAAAGAGAAGGTTCAAACTGATGAAGGTAAGTGTAGAAACTGATTTTGTTGGCTAACAGATGGCGCCACAAAGCAACATTGCCTTGCAGTGATAATGGGTTGAGGAGGGGGATGATATCGTAAGTAACATCAATAAGTGTTACTTAGGTTCATTTTCCAAAATAAAAATAGTAGCTCTATGCTATAAACAATGAAGAAGTCTAGAAATACCTCTTGAAATTGCTTTCTTCTTTGGTATTGTGTTACCAGTGATTCCATCATTATGGTCCTGGTGAGTTGTGTCTTATCCCCTACACTGGAATTTAGCATATGCAGGAACATTGGCAGATATTTGCACTATTTGTGTCAATTCTTAAATAATAACAAATCAACTTTTTTCCTACAAAACAGTATGGCTAATAGCTGGTGGTGGAAATAAATGCATACCATTGGATCAGGTGTGGCACTGTAAAGTTTACATACTTTCACATTGGTGATAATTGTCACAAGCAAAGCTATTCAATCTATGATGATACTGTGCATAAAAGGTTTGAGTAATTGCTACGTATGATAATTGAATAACTAATGATGAAACAAATGTGCTAGTCACAATGTAGTGGCCATATGAGAAAACATAAATCATGCAGATCACTGAGGAAGGAAAGAGCTGCAATTCTCAACAGTGAGTGGTTTTACTGCCTTTTCCACCAGGGACATCTGGAACAAGTGGATTTGAAGTAAAACGACGCTGCCAATATATTGCATGGTTCTATGGTATTTTACCCACGTAACTATAGGAAAAATTAGAGGAAAGTGATGGTGGGAGTGGGTGCCAAGGGAAATTAACCCTTTTACAGACTGTCGCAATCAGAATTCATGGGTTGTGTAGGCTGTTTCTGCTTTTGCTGGTACATCACTCAAGATGCTGGTACTTAGCCCAGCTGCTGGTACATCACCGTAGTTGCTGGTACATCACCGTAGTTGCTGGCATATCACCATCACTGCGGGTACATCACTGTAGTTGTTGGTACATCATGTTTGCTGCTGGTACATCACCGTAGTTGCTGGTACATCACCGTAGTTGCTGGTACATCACCGTAGTTGCTGGTACATCACCGTAGTTGCTGGTACATCATCCTTGCTGCTGGTACATCACTGTAGTTGTTGGTACATCATGTTTGCTGCTGGTATATCACCATAGCTGCTGGTACATCATCCTTGCTGCTGGTACATCATCCTTGCTGCTGGTACATCATCCTTGCTGCTGGTACATCATCCTTGCTGCTGGTACATCATAGCTGTTTCTGTATCATCATCATGTCTGCTAAGTGGCACCCGAGCTGCTCATCCGTGTGTTAACACCAAACAGAATCTGTAGCAGCAAACTGTTGTGCGGCTAATTCTGTAGCAAGCCACTAGCAACGTTTACCCACAGTACAAGTGGGTGTGCGCTAACTGGAATAAATTTCTACTTTCTAGCCCGACTCATTGCATGGTCGTTGTTGAAATCAGTGTCTGATGTACAATATAGTTGGTGAGAGTCGCAACTTTTCTTCCTAAACGGTTGGCTTCGGGGCTGATCTATTTGCCAGCAAGAAAATCTTTTATCGTCGTTGTAATGATATAGTTTATCACATGGCATTAAACTGTCTGCTATGAAGAGTAAACCTAACATTTTTGACTCCCGCTTGTTCATTAATCAAAGGCAACGTCATCATGCTGAGTTAAAAACTCATCATGGCTGGGTTCTTAAAATGTTTTATTGTAATTTCAGCTTAATGCGTAGTTGGCTGGCTATACAACAATCGTTGGTTTTAATGCTGCCTTATGGAATCGGTCTACTGTATAGCTGCAAGTGTGGTCTAGCAATCCTGAAACAGTGAGGAGGGTGTCTTTACTCGTATAACAATGTTTCATGTTCATGGACTGTAAGAATTTCCCATTGGGGGAGAGCTGAGCGAAATGTGCTGCACATCTGCCTGCATATCAACGTCAAATGTTTTCCCTAAACGAATGGCTTCAATGTAAAACATGTCCATTACTCAAAATCACTCGAAACATCAGCTCCACGTCGTGTGGTGACGTTGCAGTAGCAAAGTTTGGTGCAATTGTAAATGTCATATGGTTCATTCAATTTTTACTCCGCCAATATTTTGCCTCGTGAAATTCCAGTTCAAATTTTACATGATCAGAAAAACGCATAACCACAAGAGTCAGCACAAGTAATGGCAGCCCCCATTAAAATAAATTGGCACCAATCGCCACATTTTGACTTCAAGTATTTATTAGTTTATAATTAAAGTTGAATAATAATTCCTACGTAGGATGATTAAATAACTAATACTGAAAACTGTTATAATAACAACATAGCTGCACTATGGTAAAACATAAAGCATACAGGTCACTAGGAAAGAAAGAGCTGCAATTCTCTGCAATAAGCGCTTTAAGTGCACTTTCACACCAGGCACAGAAACAACAGATACAATACAATTAGATACAGAACAACAAAGCAGAACGACGCTGTGATCTGGAGACTATTTCATTAGGGAATGCTAGGGTTGGGATTTAATATGGTGTGGTAGTGTGCCGCAATTAGTGGTTAAACACAGAAACATCTTCAAGCGACTGAAGCTGTCAGTGTATCTTGAAAATAGCAGAATAACGAATTACAGATCTAAACACCTGCCAGTGGAGCAGTGCTGTCGACCCATAGATGCAAAATTTAGAATAATCTAATGTTTGCATCTTTGCATATGGTCTACTTAATCTAATATAGTTGTTTTATTATGCTAAATAGCGAGAGAATAGATCATATAGAATTTTTTATTTATTTCCTATATTATCTACTGTTAAATAGCTCTCTCTCTAAATCTCGTAAGTTTCGCCGTGTAACCTTAAAAAAACCATATCATGCAGAGCATAAGGTAACGTAGACTTTAATTCATGGCACTTGCCCCTGTTGTGCACAACATAACATTAACAACAACGATCAATAATTCTCTAAATGATAAATAAAATTCTACGCGTGTAGAGTCGAAAACCTTCCCACAGTTCGTAGACGTGTAGTCTCTAGCAGCTGTAGACGTGTAGCTTCTCGCAGCTGTAGACGCTGTAGGGCTTCTCGCAGGCTATAGACGTTAGCTTCTAGGGCAGTCTGTAGCTAGTAAGCTATTCTGCGCCTGTAGACGTGTAGCTTCTAGCAGCTGTAGACGCTTGCTTCTGCCTGTGACGTGATGACTTCTCGCCACTGTAACGTGTTTTCGCGCATAGACTGTAGCTTCTCGTCAGCGCGTTGTACTCTCGCAGCTGATAGAGTGTAGGCTTCTTAGCAAGGCTGTAGACGTGTAGCTTATTAGCAGCTGTAGACGTGTAGCTCTCGAGAGGCTGTGTGTAGCCTATCTAGCAGCTGTAAGACACGGTAGCCTTCTAGCACTTGTAGACGTGTAGACTCTCGCAGCTAGTAGACCGTGATTGTTCCGCAGCTAGGTGGGTGTCTTCTCGCAGCTGTAGACGTGTAGCTTCTCGCACTGTAAGATTTACTATCTCAGCAGGCTGATACATGATACTCTAGCAGCATGTAGACGTGTAGCTTCTCGCAGCTGTAGACCGTGAGTAATCTCGCAGCTGTAGACGTGTAAGCTTCTAGCAGCTGTAGACGTGTAGCTTCTAGTCTGAGCTGTAAGACGTGTAGTCTCTCGCAGCTGTAGAACGTGTCGCTTCTGGAATGCTTAGACGTGTAGCTTCTGGCGCAGCTGTAGACGTGTAGCTTTTCTCGGCGCTGTAGACGTGTAAGGCTTCTCGGCAGCTGTAGACGTGTAGCTTCTCGGCAGCTGCTAGACGTGTAGCTTCTCGCAGCTGTAGACTAGACGTGTAGCTTCCGCAGCTTGTAGACGCATTGTAGCTTCTCCCGGCAGCCTTAGTAGACGTGTAGCTTCTAGCAGCTGTAGACTGTAGCTTCTCACAGCTGTGACGTGTAGCTTCTAGCAGCTGTGACGTGTAGCTTCTCGCAGCTGTAAGACGTGTAGCTTCTCAGGCAGCTGTTAAGACGATGTGGAATTCTAGCAGCTGCTCAACGTGTAGCTTCTCGCAGACTGTAAGGACGTGTAAGTCTCCTCGAGCTGTAGACGTGGTGGCTTTCTAGGCCAGCTGTAGACGTGTAGCTTCTCGCACTGTAGACGTGTAGCTCTCGCAGCTGTAGAACGTGTAGCTCTCGCAAGCTGTAGACGTGTAGTCCTCTCGCAGCTGTAGACGTGTACTTCTCGCAGCTGTAGACGTGTAGCTTCTAGCAGCTGTAGACGTGTAGCTTCTCACAGCTGTAGACGTGTAGCTTCTCGCAGCTGTAGACGTGTAGCTTCTAGCAGCTGTAGACGTGACTTCTAGGGCACTTGTAGACGTGTAGCTTCTCGCAGCTGTAGACGTGTAGCTTCTAGCAGCTGTAGACGTGTAGCTTCTCGCAGCTGTAGACGTGTAGCTTCTCGCAGCTGTAGACGTGTAGCTTCTCACAGCTGTAGACGTGTAGCTTCTCGCAGCTGTAGACGTGTAGCTTCTAGCAGCTGTAGACGTGTAGCTTCTCGCAGCTGTAGACGTGTAGCTTCTCCAGCTGGTAGAGCGCTGTAGACTCTAGCAGCTGTACGACGTGTAGCTTCTACAGCTTTGTAGACGTGTAGCTTTCTCGCAGCTGTAGACGTGTAGCTTCTAGCCAGCTTGTAGGACTGTGTAGCTTCTAGCCCAGCTGTAAGACGTGTAGCTTCATAGCAGCTGTAACCGTGTAGGACTTGCCGCAGCTGTAGACGTGTAGCGCTTACTAGCAGCTTAGACGTGTATGCTTCTCGTCAGCTGTACGACCGTGTAGCTTCTCCAGCTGTAGACGTGTAGCTTCTCGCACGTCTGTAGACCGGTAGCTATCTCGCAGCTGTAGGACGTGTAGCTTCTAGGCACTTAAGACCGTGTAGCTTCTCGCAGCTGTAGACGTGTAAGCTTCTCGCAGCTGATAGACGTGTAAGCTTCTAAGCAGCTGTAGACGCTGATACGCTTCTAGCAGCTTGTA